GCAGGATATAAATGTTTAATATTTTCAGGAATGGCAGTCCAAGTACTGCTGTTCCAAAGAAGACGGAGAAAGAGAGTTCAATCTGTGATTGAATAGAGAAGGCTTGCAAAAGATACAGGTACAATACAAGGAAATGGTTAGGTCACTCCATGTCAACACAGAACTCAAAGTAACAATTCTCAAGCATAAAACACTTAATAATCGTACCTGCCTAGACAATGCAAACAGGGGTAACCATAACTTCGAAAAATGCATGGGACTAATGTCATGAAGGGCTGGCCATTATTATCATGGAAATTATTGCAGGCGCATTTAAAGCCTTAGCTTACACTAGCAAAGGATCTTCACTTACAGGTATTTCTAATAAACCTCTTCAGAGATGTTATTACACACCTCTGGAGTAGATGGGACTTGAACCTGGAGCTCCACACTGAGAGCGTTTGTTGTAGTCACATAGTAAAAGCCTCAGTTGTTAAGTTAAGATAACAAGGTGTAGAGCTGGATGAACACAGCAGGCCAAGCAGCATCAGAGGAGCAGGAAAGCTGACATTTCTGAAGAAGGGTCCAGACCTGAAATATCAGCTTTCCTGCTCCTCTGATGCTGCTTGGCCTGCTATGTTCATCCAGCTCTAGACCTTGTTATCTCAGAATCTCCAGCATCGGCAGTTCCTACTATCTCTGAGTTAAGTTAATGTCGCTTTAATGTCATTACCTGCATGAAGGTACTCAAGCTGATTCTTGGGTTATACTTCATTTCTTTCACTGTTCTTAAAGCAAACTCAACTGTGACCCCTCTTGTGAATAGGCTTTTATGGCAGATGGGGAGAAGTGTGGACAGGCAGTGTCAGAGAGGAGGAAGCGCACATTCTTACTGGTTGACAAGATTTAAGATCAGAGGCTTAGCTATGGTTAAGAAGGATGGCAATGCTACATGTAAAATAAAATCAAAAAGAACCGCACATGCTGGAAATCAGAAACGAAAGCAGAAGTTGCTGGAAAAGCTCAGCAGGTCTGGCAGCATCTGTGAAGAGAAATCAGAGTTATCTTTTTGGATTCAGTGACCCTTCCTCAGAACTGATGGTAGCTAGGAAAATGTTAGTCATTATGCAGAAAATAGGGTGGCATGAGGGGTTAAGCAGTAAACAACAGGTGGGGATAGAGCCCAAAGAGAGAGAAGAACAGTTGGACAGACAAAGGAGTGGATAACAATCAGGCTAGAAGGGTGAATAGCTGTTAATGGAGACTGTTAGTGGCTGGCAATGGGTTGTGTGTAAGAGCAGACGATGTGATAACAAGGCTTGGTGTGTGGGGGTAGGGGCAAGAACATGGGAGAGTTCAAGACTTCATGTGTTAAACTCGATGTTGAATCCAGCAGGCTCTAGGGTTCCCATACAGAAAATGAGGCACTGTTCTTCCAGCTTGCACTGAGCTTCGCTGGACCAGTGAATCAAGCCTGAGAGAGATGTTGGTGAGGGCTATGTGCAGTTTGGATCTGAATGCACAGGAGGGAAGGGAAATGGAATTGGTGGGAAAGGTACTGAAATCTGTGATGAAGGATGAAGATGATAGTCCTCCCAGTGTTTACATGGGGAAAATTATGGCTCATCCACACTTGCATGATGGAACTACTGCCTGACAATACAGAGTTAGTGGAAAGACTGAGAGCTGGTGGTGGAAAGGTCAAATTGCATGTTATTAATGCACAGAGGAAGCTGATATTATTAGGCAGCATCTCCAAAGGACATTATACAGATGAGGAGCAGAACTGGGTCAACATTAAACCCTTGAGGGGTTTAAAAAAAAACTAGGCATTGAAGTAAAGGCCATTACTGGAAATCATCTGAATTTAAATAGGAAAGGAGAGGAACCAAGCCAATGAAGATTCACATACCTGGGCAATGAGAGGAAATGATAGAGAGGTATTTTTGTTATGGTTATGGTATGGATAACTATTTGAGGAGAATATTGCACCACAGTCAAAATCACAAAAGATGTCATATTGACTTTGGATCGGGATGTTTCATTGATGTGGGAGATATGAAGATGGGATAGGTTCATTCTGCAGGTGTGAATATCACTAGTCAGGCTGGTATTCATAGTCTATTTCTGATTTCAGGTTTGGGACAGGCTGCTGAAGAAATTTTGGCTGCATCCAGTAGGTTCTACACACAATAGACACAACATGCAAGTTGTAGACTTTTATGTCATGAGATAAGGCATCAAACAGGCTGCTTTGTCCCAGTGATAATGACCTTGAGCTTGATCGCTTTTGCAGCTACACCACAGGCAAGTACAGACTGTTTCATTCCACTCATGTGTAGGAGAATTTTTATGGAAGGAGGAGTTTAGGGAGGACTGGTTATTAGAGAAGAGAGGCAAGGTGAGCGAGTTTAGGGAGGACTGATCATTAGAGAAGAGAGGCAAGGTGAGCGAGTTTAGGGAGGACTGGTCATCAGAGAAGATAGGCAAGGTGAGCTAAAATAGAGATCTGAAATTACCAAGAAGGGAAAGTATGGAGGAGACAGTGGGTGTCAGGGTGTGGGGTACAGAATGAAGATTTTAAAAGGTGAGATGCAAAAAGGTGGTAGAAAGTAAGCTTCTCAAAGCATGAGAAAGTATTAAAACAATAAGGAGAGAAACCAAACTATGAAGTGGTAATAAATGGCTTAATTCTGTGGCCTGCAGTCAGCATTGCAGTGAAGCAGACTGGCAAGAGTGGCCTATAGTCACCATTACGGTGAAGCAGGTGAGGAGCAGCAACTTACAGTCAGTATCACAGTGAGGCAGACTGGGAAGAGGAAAGAAGTTACCCCACCCCTTCCAAACTTCATAACTTTTACCCTAGAAACTAGATGTGGGCTCATCAAACCTCACACAATGTCAAGACAGTTGGAAAGCAGGGAAATATAGATGTAATAGGTAGGGATTGGTAGAGTCAAATGAGTTAAAATAAAAACATCACTGGAAAGGCAAGATATGAGAGCAAAGAGTTCAACATGAACCAAGGAGGAAAATATATAATCATGAGCTAGGAAACAGAAACTGATTTGAGCTGCCATGTCACCATTGTCTAACCATGGCCCAAGAGACTACTTTAAGGAGCCTTTCCGAAAAAGGAAACCATTGATTTTGGATGTGTCTTTGCTGACACATTAATCCATTCCTGGTGCACTGCTGTCAACTGTGGAATACAGGAACAAGATTATATCATTGAATCTACTCCCCTATCCAATCAGATTAAATCTATTTACTACCCTTTGCTCCACATCCAAATATACCCCTACCTAACAAAAGTCTTATCAATCCCAAGTTTGAAAATGCCAGTTATCCCAGCAAGAAGAATGCCCACACAAAAAAGTAGAAGCAAATTAGAAGTAAACCTACAGTTTAAGTGGGAAATTTCTTAGGGATAATAATTAATATCCATATTTCACATAATTGTGGTCATATTAGCTCCAGTGATAAATCTGGCCATCAAATTTATCATTTACAAACACATATTGAATCATTCTTTGTCCTTCCTACAAGTGTGCCTTGCAGAAGCAGAAACTTTAATTCTAATGACAGCAATCTAATTTCACCACACATGAGACAATTATTTCATTTTTAAAAAGCCGTGAGCAGTTTCTCACTTTTTAAAATATAAAGACTGCTTTGTTAAGAAGTTGCAATCAAATCTTAACACGTAATCAGCAATAACACTGGTCCATTTATGCAGCAGCAGACTCTCATCTTATAAAGAGGCACAAGTTCAAAAGTAGCTGCTACTCACAATGAAACGTACTATTATTATTCATCGGAACAAATTCATACCACTTCTTGCCTGTAAAGATAACTTACGCTAGCTCACCAGAAACACAATACACAAAGTAAGACAGTGTGTGATGGAAGTTCAAGTAGCTCACTATGATCTTAGAATATACATGAACATTGGGACTGAAGGGCATTTGCATTCTTCTCACCAGCTGTTGACTTCTTTCATTCTGGCAGGAAGGATGCAGTAGCGAATGCAATTGGGCCTTGATTAAATGTCTGATGAGCATTTATGTAGTAGGCTTTCATCCAAATTCATCATATTCACCTCCAAATCCAGCAACGTCATAAATCAGAGAACAGCAGCAAAGGAGTTAGAAATGGTGCTGTTCTAATTTAATCCATTGCTCCATAGAAAGGAAAGCTATCATTCCCCTCAGGAGCTGGCATGAAGATTGTGGTCATATTAGCTCCAGTGATAAATCTGGCCATCAAATTTATCATTTACAAACACATATTGAATCATTCTTTGTCCTTCCTACAAGTGTGCCTTGCAGAAGCAGAAACTTTAATTCTAATGACAGCAATCTAATTTCACCACACGTGAGACAATTATTTCATTTTTAAAAAGCCGTGAGCAGTTTCTCACTTTTTAAAATATAAAGACTGCTGACCTAAATTACAGGAGTTGGATATGAAAGCGTTCTGTGCTGCTGGGCACTATAGAGCAGCTGTCAGCAGGGTAGGATAGGGAATCTCTCAGTCTCCTGCTGGACCGGAGTAAATGGCCTGGATGGAGTTTCGAGGTTCTCACCAGAGCAGAAAGCTGACTTTGAGCCTGGTGGGCTGTGATTTTTCTTGAGCTCTGTGGAAGGCAATGACGCTACTCCTGACCCTTAAAAGGGAAAATTTTTATTCAACTCTTCAACATCTGCAGCAGTTACTGAACTGCTTCAGTCTCAGCCTGGAAGGACTTAATTAGGATTAGAAACATAGAAAGTAGTAGCAGGATTAGGCTGTTCAGCCGTTCAAGCCTGCTTCACCATTCAATATGATCACTTTAGGGAAGGAAATCTGCCATCCTTACCTAGTCTGGCCTACACGTGACTTCAGACCCACAGCAATGTGGTTGACTCTGAACTGCTCTCTGCACAATTAGGGATGGGCAAGAAAGGCTGGCCTAATTATCCGTGAATGAATTTTAAAAACCTGAGTTATAATCTTGTGAGAACATCATTCACCAATACCTGTAAACTTCTGCTTGGTATCAGATTTCTGCACACGTTTTGTGGTGATGACAGGGGATCTATCTGATGGAGGATCAGATTCTGTAAATGAGAACAAACAAAAACAAAAATGTGACAGTTAAAAAGGTATTTCATGAGGCTTTTAAACTAATTGTGGTATGAAAAATAGAACAAAAAATTAGGTCGTATCCTAATTTGGAAAAATTATAAATATTGTATTTGTATGCATGCAACAGCAAAGCTTTAAGACACTGCAATACATTTAATAACCAAAAGTATATACATGCTCTTTCTGATTACACTTAAATAAGATGCAATATATTAATAAAACAAAATGCACTATTTGAACAATGAGTTAAAATTCATGAGGGAGGCACTCTTGAACCGACAGTGTTTATATTCCACAAAACATGCAAAACATTGCTCCCACATTATAATTTACATTGGCAAAGTTCTCTAAATATGAGATATACATTGCATCAATAACTTGATACACTCCAAGCAAAAGCAAATATTGAAGTCCAAGCAAAGTAACTGCATTCACAACCAAAACATATTTGACCCAAATGCAAAGGAAAGCAATGCACTCCATGTCGTTATCAATAGCAGAGCAGTACAACATTTGTATCTACACAAACAGGCTGACATCACTTCAGCCAACGGTTAAAAATGGCAAAAGCTCGATGATATTAATTTACAGATTGATACCTTTCACAGTTAGAACCAAACGCAAGACAGAAATTGTTTTTTTGCAACATCATTCTTGTTTATCAAAGTAAAATGTAGTCCAAAATAATATTCAAACCTCGAATCTACTCTCCAAAATTCCCACCTTTTATTTCAGATTTTTGTAGAAGCAATATTTTTACAATTTATTTCAACAATGTATCTTTTGAAATAATGCAGGAACTAAGACTAGATGGCTTGTATTCAATCTATTGAAAACATAAAGCGACATGGATGCAGACTATTGAACAAGTTGTGAACAATGACTGTTTATAAAGTGTTCTGCAAATACATGGCAACAGTCAAGCCCAAGCCAATATTTTTAAAAATACCTGTGAGCACTTTTCCACTGCTATCAAATGGAGGTTGAGCAGAGGTTGAACTGTGCCCATGTGGAATGTCAGAAGTTGGAAACAAATATTCTGCAAATGATAAAAAAAATGCAAGCTTCTTTCATCTCCCATAAAAACACAAATAGGACCAGCTGTAGCATCTATGTATTTGTTGTACATTGACATGATTTATCCATGGTGGAATCTGTTACCTGTTAAAATCTAATCAAAGTACTGTTCATGTTTAATTTCAGTCACAGTTTACTGACCATGATTTACTTTATAGAATTATAAAGTCCATGCGAGGTGGCAAGCCGAGTAGACAATACAGTGCAACATGATATCATTCACATAAGAACTATAGTGATTTGATTTGATTACAGCTATTCAGGCAAAAGCAATATGTGACCCCCCGGAAGGTTAGTCAAGTTACACATTTCACAAAAAGCACTATCACAAAATCAGTGGTACACGTAACTCATTAAAGAACCAGAATAACTCAGAAAAATATAAAAATCTATAAAAGGTGAGATAAATGGTGCACTTACTTCCAAGCATAATTCACGCAAAAGCAAAAGACTGCATGCAAACACTAACAGTTGTGCTACATACAGTACATAAGTGCAAACTTTAATGTCATCATGTTAACATGTTATATATGATATACTTATTGAGCGATTTTTCTGCGTCAATCTATAATATAGCTCAGGCAATAATCTATTTTATAGCTCTTTATCTATAATGTTCATGAGATTGATCAGGCATACTTGGAATAAGTGAAGCCCTCAAAAGTTATGCAATACAATGCAAATCGATCAGTTCACGTTTCAAACAAAGCACAAACATCATCATGTAAGATATAGTGTGTTGATTGTCTGATACGTTTTGCATTTATGTTTAATACTGTAAGAAACTAGGGTTGACCAGTACAAATGAAAAGTCAGTATAGTATTTGTGACAGGAGTCGCACATCCATGGGTTAAAATTGCACATACAAATATTTTCCCAGTTGTGGGTCACCATTGTAGTTGCTCTCTGGCTTGGCGATATTGTTGATGCTAAACCTTAGTGACCTTTGCCACCCCAATCCATAATTATGCTAAATGTTCTTAAATTTCCTTCAAAGACTACTACCAACAAATAGGTAATAGTTTAAAAGATAAAACTTTTAATTTTTTTTCAAAACGTCACTTAGTTATTGAATAAATATGTAATTAAAGACAATTTCACAGATGATACAATAGCATCAGGACCGTTGACAGGGATATTACTGCAATTACCTGTTAAATCCTTGTCCTCTATCTTATCAAGTACGGATTCTTGAGTTTGAATGAAAACATCTGGAGTGCCAGGCATTGGCAGTTTATGCTCTGTAAGGGATAACAAAGAAGCCAGATATGTACCTTCCTGTCTTTCACTAAAACAATATTAATATTGATAAACTGACCTTTTTCCAAGTTATTTAAGTGTTTTTATTAGTCAATTTTACATGATTCATACAAAATTAATAAGCAACATGATGACTGCTGCCTTGCTAATAAAAGAGCAATACAATAACTCAAGATATATCAGACAGGACTTTTCTCTGCATTTCTGCCTGTTTAGCCGCTGTACTTAGGTGAAAGGTTTTGCCATTTCCACTCCCAGAGTGTATTTTAGCATTGTCTCAATAATACACTAGATGGTCCTCCCTAGGTAATAACTTGGGAATGATATACAGGAAATGCATATTAAAAGAGGTGATAAAGACTAAGTGATATCATGGCCTAGGTTTCATGAAGAAGCTATAATCACTGGCTTTTACTTCCTGTTTTACTGTCTGTGAGAATTCTTCAACATGATAGTCTGCTGAGTCCGCTTAGTTACATCACTGTTGCTGGTCATCAAAAACACCCTGAAGCTGATCCAAGAATCCAAAAAATGTCAACAAAGGGCAAATCAAGGTCACAGAGTTCATTAAATTTTTGTCAGTTCTTAGTTGCTGACAACGAAATCTGGATCAATAATCACACTTTACATCACTAACTTATCAGTAATGTTGGACACTAATCATATCGATATCTAATAGTTATTTCACCATTACTAGGAGACAAGGTAAAAACAAAAATTTTTCTACTGGAGCAATTTAAGTTAAGTAAGAAACATTCCAACAATTAATCTCTTCATTACTACTCCTAGACTATAATAATGTGTATTCATTTTGCACCCCAAATGACAAAAGATGACATCCAACCAGAAAAGGAAATATGAGAGCAGCCTCCTAAACACAAAGAGATAAGTTTTAATAAATGTCTTAAGGGAGCAAAGTGAGATAGCGAGGAGAGATTTAGAGAAGAAATTTTAGACCTTAGGACCTTGAAAACAGGAATGCTGAAGAGGTCAAAGTCAGGGGAGCACAGATATCCCTTAAGGCTAGAGGAGATTAGAGAGTTGGAACAGGCTAGTCAACATAGTGATTTGAAACTACATGGAGAATTTTAAAACTAAAGTATTGTGATTGGAGACCAACATAGGTCATCAAGCTTAGGGTGAACAGAATTTGTTTGTAGGATGGGGAGGCATTATCTGGATACAGACTCAAAACAAAATTGGATAAATAGTTGAAAAGGAAAGAAAAATGGAGGAGAAAGCAGGAGAATGAGACTAAATAAATAGGCCTTTCAAAATGCCAACAAAGCTGTGGTGGGCAACATAATCTCCTCTGTGTTGTTAAGACTCTATGGCTGAGACAATTAGGAACACTGACTGGTTTTTTATGCAGTTGCAGATTGTGGAATCCTGCAACAGCTTCTGCCAAGGATCATACAAAAAAATTAATCAAAGCTAATCAAGGAACATTACCCAAAATTGGTATCAGGGTAGTTGGGATGTCCAAAATTCCATGCTGCCACACTTATGGCAGCTATATCAATAGAGAAGAAAATCTTGAAAATGTATTAATTGGTTAATACATTTCATTAAGATTAAGGCCAATAAATACCATACAATACAGCATTTTTACCGTCTGAAATGCTTCAGACAAGCTTAAGCAATGAGCAGCTTCTTGACACCAGATCTTAAAGTAATGCTTTGTTACATGAACAACATAATATTTACTCATGTATATATATTTATAAACACAATTCTCAACGTCATGGCTTGTACACATTAGCCATGCAAAATAATTCAGCCAAGCCAATAAAATTTAAGAGATTTGATATAAATTCCATAAAAAGTAATAAAAAAGCCTCCGTGCAAAGACACACTGGGCCAAATTTTAATAAATTCAGGGAAGTTTACAGCACAGGATGATTTCATTTTTACAATGCCTTAAAATTGCACAAATACCTTTGTCTTCCAACCTGGATTAGTTGCCAATTGTGACAATAGCAAATTTGCATTGATGTAGCAACTTTACTGCAATAAAGCATCCCAAGTCACTTCAGAGGTGTGCTAACCAACAAAATTTGACATGAAGCCATAGAAGGAGGTATAAGAGCAGATGACAAAAAAGCTTGGTAAGGAGATAACCTTTCAGTAGTATCTTAAAAGCAAAGGAAGAGGATGAGTTTAAGAGAATTTTAGGAGGGAATTCTAGAACTTGCAGTCTCATTGTCTGAAGGTATGGCTGCCAATATTGGAACTTAAGAAGCAACAATGGGTGAAGCACAAATATACTGCATGACTCAGAAAACCACAGAAACGCTGAATGTTGAGGCTATGGATTGATCTGAAAACAAGAAGAAGAATTGTAAAATTGAAGTGTTGTCAGTACAGATCAAAAGGCACTAGATGTTGGATAAATAGAATTTGGATTGTTAGGATACAAGCAGCAGAGTTGTGATGACAATTTTATGGAGGAGTTGGCCAGGAGTGAGTTGGAATTGTTAAGTCTGGAGGAAATAGTGTAGATGAAGGTTTGTTGGCAGTTAAGCTGAAGCAGGGTGGTAGTCAGACATGTGGTGGAAAAATAGGAAGTCTTATGATGGCATGAATATGTACTCGTAAACTCATCTTGTAGCTAATATCTTATAAATTTGGCGAATAGTCTGGTTCGACCTCAAACAGTTGCCAAGGAGAGGGCTGGAGTTGGTACCTAAGGAATAGAGTTAGTGGCAGGGACAGTGTTCGTGATATTTAGCCAGAGGAAATTTCTGCTCATTCAATTCTGGCAGACAAGCAGTCAGACAACTTAGAGATGCAAAGGAGTCAAATGAGGTGATGGTGAGGTACTGCTGGGTATATTTGGCATACACATGGAAATTAATGGATGGTGTTGCCAAAGGGCTGCACATTTGCAATAAACTCTATGGGAAACATTCAGAAACCAAGCAAAGGTTATAAACAAGATGAACAAAATGCTGGGCTCTATGAATGATCAAAATTGCAAGGCAACATGAAAGAGCAATATTTAAATTCTATTCCTCGCAATAACTTGAGTATAAAAGTTTTTCCCAATACTATAATGACAGCAATGGTTCTACAGGCATTTACCTGTGAACTTCTCATCCTCTTTATTATCGAGCTCAGATACTGGAGTTGAACTAAACTTGTGGGGAGTATCAGACTTTGGTGAAATATGGGCTGGAAAGAAACCAAATAGAAATCTTTGTATCTTTCACCAAAATAGCACTAGTGTTGACAAATTGCTATCTTTGTCATGTAAAGAATGTTTATACCAAATCTTTTATTCGTCAATTCAATGTGCTTCATTTAAGCATTTAAAAAAGCCTAATCATTGACTGTTATTGCTAGGAATATTCATTCATTTCTTTCTGATTTAGGTTTTCTTTCCAATCATCCAGTTGAACTTGTCTCACCTTTTTGACGTTAGAATTAGAATTAGATTTTATTGTCATGTGTAGTCAAGTACAGAAGTACATGAGTAAAGTGAAATATGGACCAAGTCGCCAGCTTAGATACAACGCTACCTTACCTTAAGTAGGAAAATAAAGAAACAAATTTAAAAGTTCAACAGTATTTCTTAAGTGCATAGCCATGCTGGCCTCACACTCCCTACAAGGGCTCAATCTCCTTTGCTTTGGCCTGTTGTCTGGGAGACCTCAGGCTGCCTGCTCTCACCACTGCCACACAGTGAAATCAGTAAATGTTCACTGCTATAAAAGTATCCTTGGAATACTGGAAGTTTCACTCACAGAAAGAGTAACCTGATTCCAAATGGTTCATTTTACAGACCATCTGGATAGAGAATAGAAATAAAAACGGTGTGATTACTTTGCTGGGATTACATTACAGGCCTCCCAACAATCAGATGGAGATAGAAGAGCAGATATGTAAGTCACAGAGAGGTGTGAGGGGAACATGGCTGTTGTTGTAGGGAATTTCAACTTTGCTAACATTAACTGGGATTACTTTAGTATGAAAGGATTAGATGGGTAAAATTTTTAAAGTACATCCAGGAGAGCTTTTTTTTGTACCAGTATGTACATAGTCCTACTAGAGATGGGCACTATTAGGCCTAATCATATTGAATGAAGCAGGTCAAGTGGTTGAAGTTTCAGCAGGTGTGCATTTGGAGATCGTTAACATAATGGTGTAAGTTTCAAAATCATTATGGAAAGGAATAAGGATAGTGCCGAAGATGTGTGTGTAAATTGGGGGAAGGCCAATTTCAATATCTTTAGACAGGATCTGGCAAACCTAGACTGCGAGTAGCTACTTGCAGTTCAGTCTACATTTGGAAAGTGGGAACCTTTTAAAGATAGCATAGTGAAAATTCAGGGTCAACTTTTTCCTCTAACAGTGAAGGGCAGGGCAGCAAGTCCCGGGACCCCTAGATGTCAAGGGATAGACAATTTTATGAATGAAAAAGAGGAAGCATTTGTGAGGTGTAGACCATTAAAAACAGGGGAGGCCCTTCAAAAGTATAGAGACTGTAGGTTGCTTAAAGATAAAATTAGGACGGCAAAGAGGAACCATTAAATATCTTTCGTAGGTAGGACCAAAGGAAAACCCCAAGGCATTAAGAGCAAGAGGATTACCAGGGAAAGAGTTGGGCTTATTAGAAACCAAAGCAGCAACCTGTGCATGGAGCCAGAGGATGTGGGTGAGGGTCTTAGATGAATATCTCTCATCTGTATTCACAAATACATTGTAGCCAGGGATGTCATTTGGGATGGTGAGGGTTTAGAACATGCTAAGTTCAATAAGGAAAAAGTATTAGATTATCTCACGGGCTAAAGGTGTATAAATCCTCAGAGCCTGATGAGATGTATCCCAGGTTATAGGATGATTGCTGGGGCCATGGTGGAGATACTTAATACTTCATTGGTCACAGGTGAAGTGCCAGATGATTAACAATCCTCCAATATAGTTCCTTTGTTCAAGAAGGACAGCAGGGATAAGCCAGATAATTACAGGACAGTTAGTT